TATGACGACATGCATGCGTGTGTATGTGTATGTGCGGCTGCTTGTACTAGCCCAGACTGAAGCTGGTTTTATAGTGCTAGCCCACTGAGATACCATGCCGCAGTGAAGCATGAATACCCCACTCAGACACATTATACTGACTCCGAGCCGACCAGTCCTTGTTGTACCCATTAATGCCGAGAGCCAGGCAGGGACCAACAAGTACCATATTTTAACGTCTTTTGGTATGACGCGGTCGGGGATCGAACCCGCGACCTTCCGCTCTCGGGCAGACGCTCTAACCACTACACCAGGGAGGCGGTCTGTTGGTAAGGTAGTGGTGAGAGCATGGGCTAGAGTTTCTATTGACTTTGACCACATAGGACAATATGCTCCTATGTATGACCCCAGGAGCTGAGATTGATAATACAATGTGCCGTTGAGATTGACATCCAATGATCGAGGGAAATACCAGTGCCTTGAGCATGTTCTAGTTACGTGCGCTATATAAATATCCTGTAATAATATGTATTATAGGGGTGCAATGGTGTAATAGTTGTATCCGGCACCAATACAAATGTTATCGAAATCCTAATCCTATGTCTGTTTGGTCCAGTAACCATGTTTACCACAGCTAATGATATTTCCTATTTGTTACTCAGAAATGTACTAAACTAATTGGTAAAATATGTGTAAAAATATGTACCGGTAAAACATGCTTACTGATCATTAGGCTTGGTTTTGTTGATCAAATTAATTTTAACAAGGGCAGATAACTACATATTTCTGGTAAACGACTATTATTCTTCGTTCTCTTACAGTTCCAGTTAGTAAGAAATGTCTTGTCAACATGGTGGGTTTTTTCTTGAATAAAAAATATACACCATCTTACAGATACCCAAATAATTACTTTTCCAGTGTAAACATGCTTGAACAATGACTGCTTGTAATTAATGCATGGCTGTAGATAGTTACATAATGTCATCTATCAGGACACTGAACAGTGAATGCTCATTGACAGTCATGACACAATCCGCTACATTAATTACAAGAGATAAAGTCAGCCATGACAGCATGGTCGTCCATCGACAGGTCAGTACAGGATGCTACAAACCCATGCTTAGACAGGACAGTTGCTTGTGTAGACTGGGACAATTATGATGGGATTCTGTATACAAGTGTGAGTATTCGGTGTACAAGTTGTACTGTAACATGTACACGGATCATGTGTTGAGCAGACTTTGAAATTCATGCTAGCCTGCTAGCCCGAGACTACTAAATTGGGCCGAGGACAATCCAAAATCAAGTGGTAGTAATCCTCAATGACTTGTAACATATATAGAGGATATTTTGTTAATGTTGTCAAATAACATGTATATTTCATCGAGTGGTCTGACAAAGTTGATATGTTCACTGATGGCGTCAAATAACATGTATATTTCATCGAGTGGTCTGACAAAGTTGATATGTTCACGAGTGGCGCAGCCATGAGTGAACATATCAACTTTGTCAGATCACTCGATGAAATATACATGTTATTTGACAACATTAACAAAATATTCTATTTATTATATTTTGATCATTGTTTATACATGATCGAGACATCGAGTAAGTCTGCATTTTATTACAGAAAGCCAACTACAGTCTAGCCCTTGAGTTCCAGGCAAAAGTGATATTCTACTCAGTGAAATAACATGTTATTCTGCTCAGTGAAAATACCATTATTATTTTCACCAATATTTACAGTATTTCACCCTTAGAATATAATGAAAGGGTTATTTTCAACCATTGGCACATGCATTTATATAATGATAAATCTGACAGCTAGTACCAGCTTCTGAGGACAAGTGAAATAAGATTTGTACAATTTCTGTGGACTAGTTTTTTAAAATTTCACCAGTGACTCTTTCAGCTGTATATGATAGTTATCTACATGCTGTTCCAGATAGCTATTTAGGAAATCTATTTGTTTTGTTTTAAAACTTCTTAATCTTAATTGTTCAGTGTGTATCATGTATAATAATATCATATTTGGTGAATGACATAAGTTCAAGATATCTCATTGATTGTTCAGATTTTAATGTATCTCATTAGTTAACATTTTTACTATTTGCTTTGTAACTTCAGAAATTGACTTTATTTAGTGTGGGCTACTCTTGAAGTGCAACCCCAATTGTGAAGATCAGTATTTTTCTTTGGGGCGGATGGGTAGCCTAGTGGTTAAAGCGTTCGCTCGTCACGCCGAAGGCCCGGGTTCGATTCCCCACATGGGTACAACTTGTGAAGCCCATTTCTGGTGTCCCCCGCCCTGATATTGCTGGAATATTGCTAAAAGTAAAACCATACTAAAACCATACTCAGCCAGCCAGTCATCAGTATTTTTCTTTGAAAACTGTACCTTTAAGTTTCATCACATTCAGTGGCCTTGTTGACATTTTGTACAGTTTCTAAATGATACTATGAAAGGATTCTATTTTGACAAAAATGTGTTGTTCCAGAAAATAACATGAAAAAATGACATTTTAAAAAGAAGTGTCACTTGTGGAATATTGTAAAAATAAGTTTTGCTAATTAAAAAAAAATGTTATTTTGTTTGTTCTCACTGTTTCCATGGTTTCAGAGCAATAGCCTGTTATATTGACACTTGAATTATTGAGGATAAAAGCACTCCTCACCGTTATATTGGATAGTTGTCCACTGACCATGAGCAGGAAGTATGATAAAATGCTACAAATTCAAAGAATTCTGATCACAAAAGTCTTGCTGATAACACCAGAATTTACCAATGTCAGGAACTTGCCAATCGGCCTGGCAGTGATCACATTACTGTCATCTACACTTGGTACCCTCACCAGTGCAAATGTCCCATTACATGAGGGAGTATTTTAGCCCTGATAGTTGATAACCTGCATCCCCTGGGTCATACAGCATGAAAACACCCATGGCTTTCCTCCTGAAACATACTGCACATGTGTTCCCTAGCTGACTTCCTGTGAGGTGGATCAGGCCATTGTGAAGAAGGGGTGGTGGGATGTTCTCTCCTTGTATGCAGCTATATATCATAGAGAATACCAGGCTTTCATTCAGTGTTCCCCTTTCAGGGCTGAGGTTGAGCACAGGAAGACTACATATACTTATATCATGGTATAGTCCAACTGCTGACAGGGACCATCTCAAATAATTTAGGGTTTTTAAAATTAATAAATTTAACTAGTTTCCAGATGAAATCATTACTTCAAAGGAAATATGATATTGTGAATTAGGAAAGTCAGTCGACCATTTTGAATGTGCTTTTTAGAAAATCCATTTAAGAGTTTTCTGTTTTAATGCTTCTGAATTTCCAGCTCAAAATAAGATGACTTTCAATGAGAACAGAGCTTGTCGAGTTGTGTGAGGCTAGCCTTCTAGGAACCGGATGTGGTTGGAATCAAAGACTTTTTATATATGATCATCTTTGGCTGGTCTTCACCATACCCATTCCTGCTAGTGGATGTTACCAAATTTAGTTGTCTGTTTTGCCGTCAGGTTAGGATTTTCCTGACTTCTTAATCTGACCATAATGTAATGAAAATACCTGCATCAACAATAACATTCAGGGCCCCGTTCCACAAAACCATCGTAGCGCTAAGGTGATCTTAACTCCCATACTGTAACATAGACTTACGACAGTCATAGCACTAAGGTGATCGTAACTCCCATACTTTAACATAGACTTACGACAGTCGTAGCGCTAAGGTGATCGTAACTCCCATACTTTAACATAGACTTACGACTGTCGTAGCGCTACGATCGCTTTGAGGAACGGGGCCCAGGTCAGTTAGTGTAATGTCATTTTTGTTAGTTAAACATAAAGATTTAAATACTGTTTAGGTTTGAAACCTAGTGTGGATGTAAGTTGATATGAAGGATGTATCATGAATAATGTCCTTGTCATTTTGCATCCTTCAGACCAGCACCAGAGGTATTTTCATACATGGTGACTTTGGCCATCCCTTATCCTTGTTGGTAGATAATTGTACAGGATCGCTCACTTTTAGATGATCTGCCTACATGCTGTGTGCCTTTAGTTCCGTAATCAATGTGCTCTCATAGTGAGTCAGTTTAGTGCTGAAATAAGCTCAATTTCTACAATATATCATCACACAGGAAAATATGGTTTCCAGAGAGGAAATCCTTGAGCAGTTTGCCACGTAGTGCAGAGCGTTTTGTAAACAAAGGACGAGGAAAGGACAATAACTTAACACACAAATGCTGTCATAGGTTTCTCGGGGAAAATGCTGTGCTCGAAATCATGAAATACATTTAGTTGATGCTGTTGAATCTAAATATGTTTTTATAGATGGATAACAATGGTAAAATGTGTACAGAAATGAAAAAAAGCATACTTCTTTTTTAACATATGATCAATGCTTTCAATTTCTACTTGTTTAGTCAGGACTGCAATGTAGTGGCTCAGATTTCACGGTTATTATTTTTTAATACTATTTTTTATAATATCCATTCATTGAAAAGTTGTTCTTTATAGAATTGGGTTATTGATATTCATCATGTTCATGAACTTGTTTTCCTCGTTTAGAAAATATATAAGATAAACAAGTATATGGTAATTAATCACATGTGAAATGTTATTTTAATATTTCACACCTGTGACCAATTTTCATTTGTGTTAAGTATCAATTCTTCGGATGTTTATGCTGCACAAATCACATCAAGTATTGACGAAAGCTATGGTATTAACTGTAATTACACATACCCAGCATGAATTATTTGATATCCAGTTGAGTTAATGAGTTTAACCTATACCAACTGCTGGGTCGTATTTACCGAGCATGACATAATTAGTCCTTGCTACATGTATCTGCTCATGCAGAATTTTGCCCAGATCAGCCTTGACTTGCTTCTGATTGGTCCTCCCTTTGACCTGCTGATCAAAAATATTTCGTGACAAAGGATTGTGGGTTTTACTTGTGTTAGCGGAAGGGATGATATTTGTACATTAAGTGTAAGATGGTGTATGTGTAGAGGTATATGTCGATAGAGGTGACACAGGTTGCTCTGAAATGGCTTTTGGTTGACAGACATACTAATTGATGTTTTTCTCATAATTCACCAAAATACTTATGGGACGGCTGATCCTGATTAACCCTGACTGGATTGTGACTATTCCTGTTTCTTATAAACCTGGCTCACAAGTTTAGATGGCTTTTTCACATGACGAAGCTTTCTAGGAAGCATTTATTGACTTCATTACTGGTGAGCCGACCCCTACAGGAGAGGGCAGGGAGCATCTCCTGCAGGCTTCTGAAGTTGCCAGTCTCAGGGACTCAGTGTTAGTACCCCCACATTACAATATGGCAGAAAGCGCGGGGGATGACACCATGGCTTACTAGACAGCCAGTTTTTTCTGTGATCTACGCTGGAGTGGATACATACTCTACCAGAGGACACTTGGATATGATTGTTTGAAATGGATGTGTTTCATGACGCAGTAGTCAGGACACTAGTACATCGGGAATTACCATGTTCGGTGATTGTGGAGTTGTTATAACAGTAAACATTGCGGCCAGGTGGACATACAATGAATGAAAACAATGAGGTAGGAGGGACCATATACTTGTTTACAACTTTGTTGATTTAAGTATTGTTAGGACAGTGTATTACTTTCAGGTATCATCAGAAATGTAGCTGTTTGGAAAGGTTCTCTATCATCATGGAGAAAACCGTATGTCCTGTCAGTCTGAGATGGACTATTCTTGATTGTAATGTTCTTATTGTGCTTATTATGTATTATTATGTGGTTAGCTCGTCACGCCGAAGACCCAGGTTCGATTCCCCAATGTGTGAAGCCCATTTCTGGTGTCCCCGCGCAATGATATTGCTGGAATGTTGCTAAAAGCAGCATAAAACCCACCTCACTGACTCACTCACTATTATGTGGTTATGGTATGATCATGTTAAAACCTCATCAACATTCATAGCCTTGATATATTTGGATATTTTCTATGACAATCTGCTCTAGTCAGGTTTCTGTTTTAGCTTCAGTACTGTTCTAGCACAAAGATTTTGTATGGGTTCTGAAAATAGTTCATTACTGATGAGATTTAAAAACTTCAGTTGATTGCTAATCATGGTTTTCATATACTAAACATTAATAATCAAGATCCTAATTTTTTAGTATTTGATTGCACATCTGAGCTGTGTTCATATGGTCCCTCCATCATCAGCTGACGTAACACATTACATCCTCATCAAACAGCCATATCACTCACCAATGCATCATGGAAAAAGTTCTGTAAGAAAAACTCCCAAGAAAATCCATCATCAAGTGTTTGGAGAATCAATGAATTGTAAACCTGTCTTGTCAAAACTTCAGTAAAGAAGTACAAAACAAATTTCTTTAAGTAGAAGAAGAATTTCACGCATCTCCTCTAGTACTTCATGGTAAGAGAGAAATGTTACACTGTACACAGTGTGTGCATGTCGTGCTGCATGGAGATGCACTGCACAACGTTGCACCAACTCGCTAGGCAGCTGTGTCCCGGTGAGAAAAGCGATCACTGATTCTCCCATTTCCCAGGAAGATGAAAAACTGTTGGCACAGTTCCACTTAAATATCCCAGTATTGTGTGGAACATCTGTAGGATGTTGGAAATTGGAAAAAGTATGCCACAGTTCATTGTGATCATGTCATGGTAATGTAAGCTTTAAGTCTCCTAAGAACAGAACAGGAAATAATCATTCTGCTCCTGATTCTTCTCTCACAAGTCATTACTCCAGGGGTTTAATTCAACTGTTATTTATAATTGTAAGATTGTAAGGGCTGGCTATCTATGTAGATCATAAAGATCAATGATCATAATCTAAATAAATATTGATACATCATTGAGAACTATCAAGGTGTAACTCCGAGCTTATTTCAAAAGTGCTGACATATTTCATGCCACTGATGAGTGGTGACATATTTCTTCCTGGATTACTAATAAAAACATCGTTCTCAACATAATTTATACCATGACTACAGACATACTTTGTTTATTGTGTGAGTAAATTAAAACTTTATCTCATCACGACAGTTTAAGGAAGATTTTATCCATGACACAATTTCCATATCGATAATCATTGACTTTTTCCCCTGGACAGTGTTTCAATTATAAATCTTTTTAGCTAGCCCTAGTCATTATGCTGTAATTGTAACCTAAGAAAATTAATGTAACTATAGAAGTAGAGCTTTAAACAACAATAAGTTCTTAAAATAATATCTAAAAAGAATATGAAAATTTGTGTTTCATATGCTCTGTTAACTAGTACAAAAGACTTTGTTTGCTCTGTCAAAGTATAAAATAGAATTATTTGGGTCACTGTTATTGTTTACAAAGATTGTTTTTCATCATATTTGTTGAATACACATTCAAAAATATTCAAACTAAAGACTAGCTTTGTTTTTGTGAACGTTGTTACTGCCTAGGACAAAGTGAGTATGATAAATCTGTTGACTTGCATGTTTCTCTTGTAAATGTCTTGTGAAGGGAATAAGATGGGTGTTGGGTCAGTCTGTTATCACAGGAGTAATGGGCCGTGCCTGCTCGGCTGATTAAACTCGCAGACTACGATTTGGTTGATTTGATATGTCCAAGTCTTACTAGTCCACAAATACAAAGGAAATAGGCTGACATTTGCTTTGTGGGTAGATGGTGCATTAGAGATGACATTTAGCAACTCAAAAGCCATGATGGTACTTTGGGGATCATTATGGCTGCATGTCCAGAGGTCAGAGGTCGCCAATTGACTGAATTAGTAAATAGACTCAGAATTGTTGTCAGTTTTTGGTTTTGATATGTTTGGACTTTAGTGCACATGGTTCTGTTTGGAGATTTGGGTACAATGAGTGAAGCCCATTTCTGGTGTCCCCCACCGTGATATTGCTGGAATATTGCTAAAAGCGGCGTAAAACCAAACTCAGTCAGTCAGTTTGGAGATTAATAGTTGAGTTATGGCCTGTATGAAGTGTTTGATGTCTAGATTTTTCAGTCTCAGAACTATAAATATAGTAAAAATAAGCAAGTTTTCTTCTTTCTTAAATGACATTTTGTTCTCACGTGCAGTAAATAATTGTTTTGTGGACATAAGTGTTATCATTAAACCATGAATAAAAGCTTTTCCATTTAACCCCGGCCACACCTAGACCAGAACACTGTAATAAGATTCGGTCCTGAAAGTGGAACTAATTGCTCAGCAAATGTACAGATGTGTTCTTCATCAGGGCAATGGTTTCTGTTGAGGGAATTGGGTCAGACTGTGAGACAAATATAAAAGGACATGTCTACAAGTCAATCATTATATCTCCCCTCACCACTGTTGACCACACCAATGCAAAAGGCGGGATTAGCAAAAAAAAACTCCTTCAAAATTTGTTTGTCACTTATATTTGCTTGTGACGTTTTTTCTGAAGACTGGATATACTGGAGTGATCCTTATTGACTGCCTAGAGTTATTGCCCTTAGCAGAGGCAGGATCTGATGGTTGTTGGTTCAAAACCCAGTTAAAGTTTCACTTTGAAGTTTGTTGTGATGTTACGTTACGTTGTATTTGGAGTATGTTGTACTGGTCTGTTGCATAGAAACAGTTACACCTCTTACAAATAGACCTGAGCGAGGAAAAGTTTCAAATTTATCAGTTTCCATAAGAATGCCAATGGGAGCTACTGTAACTAGATATACCATGGTATTTCATAGTTGTGTTTAGATATGATTGTGTGTCAACTGTATGTAATACAATAGTGACACTGTGTTGAAATGTGTACATATATCCCGGTATATATATAGATTGAGCTGGATCCTCATCCCAACATCAGTGGGCAACTGATGCAGGGAAGGAAGGCTTGAGTTGGCTATGGATGAAATTGTTTGCTTTTGTACACAGACACAATGGAGGCTACTGATCAACAGAATGGGTAATATTGGGTCATGAGTGCTTTCGTTGTTTTTAAGCTGTGAGTGAGTTTAGTTGTACGCTGCTTTTAGCAATATTCCAGCAATATCACGGCAGGACACCAGAAATGGGCTTCACACATTGTACCCATGTGGGGAATCAAACCCTAGTCTTCGACGTGACAAGTGAATGCTTTAACCACTAGGCTACCCCGCTGCCCCTTTGAAGCTGTGATTATGTTAAGTAATATCTTATCAAACTGCCTTCACTGATTATGGGTTCTTCACAGTCTTTATCATGTTTATGCTTTTAGCTGACTTGCTGAATCTCGTGAACATCCACTTGGGTAGCTAATGAAGAATATGTAAAAATATTACTAGTGTTTAACTGCTTTTAAAGTCTAAGATGCGTTGAATGTTTATCATTCTGGAGTGTTTCTAATTGTGAATTGGTTGGTCACAATCTGTTTCTGATCACCTGATGTTGTTTTGAAATCAGAAACAGATTTTATGTGTGGATTACCATTGGTGAAACTTAATCACACTTGGTATTTAGGTCTGTAACCATAGTTTCAGATTAGGATTGGTTGATGATCATAAAAGGATAGAGTTTATTCAGTGCGATGGATGCAGAGTATTGAGTGTGGGCTTGTTACTGATGCTTTGTATGACAATGTTGTGACTCTGAAGTCAAAACAGTTGAAACAGCTTGTCACACATCATGTCAATGATGAATATTTTGAATGCTGCATGATACTCACATAGTTCTGTATCACACATGTTGGGTTCAATTTCACTGTTAGGAAGGACTAAGTTTACTTTGTATTGGACAAGGTTGGCACGTTCATCAAATCAGCCTTTGACCTCAGTCACTTCAGTGTTAGTAATTAGGACATAAAGTCAATGGTCTCTTGTCATAGTCCTAGTATTTAGGAGATCCTCTGATTCTAGTGCTATAGCCTCAATAGGGGTGCAGCTTGGCCTGCTGCCTAGGTCAGTTTGTCTGATGGTAAAGGTATCGTAGCTCAAGGAGGATTTTTCATGCTTCATTGGTATCCTTATATGTAATGCTGTTCAGGCAAGAAAATGATTCAGGTTCAGTTACCTTGGCTGGATCAGTGGGGTAACCTAGTGGTTAAAGTGTTCACTCATCATGCCGAAGACCTGGGTTCGATTCCCCGCATGGGTACAATGTGTGAAGCCCATTTCTGGTGTCCCCCGTCGTGATATTGCTGGAATAATGCTAACAGCGGCGTATAACCCAACTCACTCACTCACTCGGTTACCTTGGTGCTTGGTTCAGAACTGAAGCTTTCCTTAATTTCTGAGACTATTTGGATTGTCCAAAGGCTATTTTGATCTTAATTGTTGCTTAACCCATCTCTCAGCATATTCCAGTTATATCACAACAGCTTGTACAAAACTGGATCTGGACCAGATAAAACAATGATGTCCCAGATAACTGGTTTTTTTTTCTATTTCTGGGCATATCCATTCCATCTCAGTTTGATTTGAGAACTGAACAGGCTTTGATGTCAGCAGTTTATATTGCTTTTATACAGCCATAGTGTGAGATAACAATGACTTCCTTAGACTTTATGAGAAGAAGATAACATCCACAGTGGTATTTACTGTTGCCGTTGGCTTCACAGAATTTCTCATCCAAAATGTTCAGCAGTAGCTTATAATGAAGGTCATTACATGAACATATTTTTGTTGTAATATATTACTTTATTGCCAGTGGTTATAAAAATATAAAACCCCAAAACATTCAAGTCTATTTGTGCTATCAACATAGATAACGTCATTTCGTCCTGGGAATGATGGCCTGATGTTCAACAGACAACAGCTACATTTACTGTAACCAAAGCCTAAGTGTTTGATACAAGACACTGTAGGGTGTGGTGTTGGAATTTTGGTGAATGAGGAGTGATATTTCTGTCAGTTCTCTCTCAATAAATACATTGAGGAGCTTCTTATCAGTCCAGATTTAGAATCCTTGATGTAATTCAAGTAGGATGTGACTGTTGTAACAAATAAGTTCAGAAGAAAGGCTTATTATCTGTTTCAATTTGAGTAATCTGTGCCAATTAGTACCCTTATCGCTACTCTGGATGGGATCTTTTTCAGCTCTAACAAGTAGCTATGGTGTATGATATTCCACTCAGGACAAGTGCAGCTTGTTATGAAGTTTATCAACCACGTAACTGAATGTCACAATTGTTTACTCTTTTGTTGCCTTTAAGTTAACTAATAACTTCTTTTCCGCCTCTTTCAGCAAACCAGATCCCAAGACCAAACAGATCTCAATTGGGAAGAAGAAATTCAATATGGACCCCAAGAAGGTAGGCATTAGCTGGGCCACGCATCATGTGACCCTTCAGATTTACTGGTAAATCTGAGCATATCTGTCAGTAAATCAGATTTCCTGTTCAGTATCTAGAGTGCATCTGCTCCCAGCGACATATTTTCGGTTCCTGAAGATGACTGCTGGAGGCTATTGTTTCCAAAGCAACTTGGGTCAGAACTGAGGAGTCTGGATATTGTTTGTACTTTGCTTACAGGGTATTGCTGCTGACTTGATGTCACAGGATGTCAGTAGCATCCATTTGGAGCTGTTCCTGAGGCCACAATGGGTCTGCTGCACCCCCAGGTGTCTGGCCTTTACCTTGTCCACCCACACTCATATTCTTCAAGCTAGACTTCAGCCTCTTCATTATGAGTGTCAAATTATGACATATGATTTATCACAGTGATAGGAACTAGCTCATTTAAGTCACCAGGCCCTATAATGATGTGTATAATGAGGATACCTTACCATTACACACATGTTTGTTTGGAATCAAAGATATGGACCAGTTTCCAAACTTTTGCAGTGTTCAAAATTAAACATGAAAGCAAGGAGCCCTCATTATAACCCTGAAGTTTAGGTAAAATTTAAGGGAACCTTTAATGAAATACTTCAGTAACAGACCGCCTATGTGGTGTAGTGTTTAGAGCGCCTGGCTAGTACAAGCAGCCACACATATACACACACACACGCATGCACATCGTCATATAAGCGAAATATTCTCAAGCACGCCGTCAAACCCAATTTCACCTCACCTCACTTCAGTAGCAAATCTCAAGAACCTCATGGCCCCCTTAATTTCAAACACTGCTTCATCAATAGTTTAAAATATTTGTTGCCACATTCAATATACTTTTAAAACAATTACTCTGCTTGTATACTCATTGCTTGAGGCATACATGCAACTGTAATTTTTTTTATAGTTTCTATTGAAATGCATCTCGACATGCTGCATTTCCACCAATGCCAAATTTGAAAGATCAGTTTTGGCATCTACTTAATTATGAGTTTGATATGTGTGAATAATTATTTCATTTATTTACTTTTTGTTTTGTATTCTCATTGAACAAGATGGTCTTCACCATTTTTCAGTCCCTCCCTTAGAGGGGTTGTTTTGGTAGCCTAGAGGTTCAAGCATCAGCTCACCCTGCTGAAGCCAAGGTTTGATTCTTTAGAGCAAGTTATATGATGTCATTATTGGGTGTACTTGTCCCATTTCTGTCCGGATCCAAAAACTAGTTATCCTGAGGTCAAATATACATTCAGTATTTGAATAATAATAAGTTCTTCAATTTGATAATGTTACCATTACCAGGACCAGTGTTTCTCACCAGCGGTTTGTCTCAGCTTCCAAAGAACCGATATTTGTCAGTGTTAGCAAAAAGTAAAAAGAATATGCAATTTGTGAGATTTTCCTTTCGGGTTTTGTTAGATGCTGTTAATCTCTACACCTTCACTATCAGTATACTGAATCAATGCCCAAACTACCACCTCCGTGGTGTAGTGGTTAGAGCGTCCACCTGGAGAGCGGAAGGTCGCGGGATCAATCCCCCGACCGCTTCATACCAAAAGACGTTAAAATATGGTACTTGTTCGTCCCTGACTGGCGCTCGGCATTAATGGGTACAACAAGGACTGGTCGGCTCAGAGTCAGTATAATGTGTCTGAGTGGGGTATTCATGCTTCACTGCGGCATGGTATCTCAGTGGGCTAGCACTATATAACCAGCTGTATAAGTCTGGGCTAGTACAAGCATCCGCACATACACATACACACGCATGCACGTTGTCATATGAGCGAAATATTCTCAAGCACGACGTTAAACCCAATTTCACGTCACCTCAATGTCCAAACTTAAAAAAGTTCTCTAAATATTTCTGAATGGATGTTTTCGGGGTAACAGAATTTCCCAATTTAGAGCTAAGAAATCCATATATTTTCCAATTGTCCTGCCAGAGGCATCAAGTCAAAATTCCTGGATAAATCACAGCAAACAGTTCATTTGAACCACCTCTAAGATGAAAGGCATTCTTTCCCCTGGACCCAGTCTATTGTTATTGTTTACCAGCCTCCTAACACTTGTAGCACCAGGATGACACTACAATGGCTGTCAAATACCCACACAGCAGTACATGCTTCTCCAGGCTTATACAAGAAACCTCTAATGATGTCACACGTATGTTGACTCAGGGACGGACAACTCTTCTAAATGAAATAACCGGCAATGATATAACCTAGTGATAATAACCCCTGCAATGACCTGCTACTGTGTCAACACATCCACTTTGTTGCCATTCCTTGTCTTGAAGCCTGGTGCTTGTTCAACAGAGGACTTGAGCCTTGTTGAAAGTGACAACCAACATGTTAGGGATATTCATACGGAATGTCATTGTTACAGGGAGAAGTGTTAAAGAGGTCATTATGTTTAGATGAATAGAACAAGGTAATCTCAGGGTGAAGAAGGAAAGCGCTTGAAGCTGGGATTCTTATTATAACTGTATTGGTGGAGTCATTGCCAAATGGGGCGGTGGGGTAGCCTAGTGGCTAAAGCGTTGGCTTGTCACGCCGAAGACCCGGGTTTGAATCCCCACATGGGTACAATTTGTGAAGCCCATTTCTGGTGTTCCCCGCCATGATGTTGCTGGAATATTGCTAAAAGCGGCGTAAAACCAAATTCAGTCAGTCAGTCAGTCATTGCTAAAAACTCTTCGAATGTTAATAAGAGAAATACCTTTTGTCTCAAAGCATTGCATATATTTTCATCTGGTCATTGACATCACTCAAAATTCAATGAAAAAATCAGTATTAAAATGAATAAAAAAAGTTATTTCTCTATTCACTAAGATTTGCTCTTGTGATCATATTATTGCCTCCAATCACCTCAAAAACCATTTTGGGAACTTGACAGAATCTACTTTTGAAATACCTGTCTCAGTTGACAATGGTTTTCCAGTGTGATTATAATTTCTTTGTACAAACACAACTCATGGTATTGTTGATAACTAAGCATGCTTTAACCTTGCTGATATATTCCATGAGAAGCCATGATAAACATCAAGGTAGGGAGTATTGCTAACAGGGAAAATATGATATACTGGTCTGCTCTGTCAAAACATATTGATATGTTAGTGATGCTGATTAATATTTGAAAATCTTTTAGGAATATCATATCATTCATTATTCAGGAGAGTAGGGAAAAATATTTCCAAAACTGTTCTTTTCAATGTGTAAAGCACAAATGTATTAATATATTGTTTAGTGTTAAGAGCCCCTAGTAAGTCTACTTCACTGTGGCAGTTCTTCGTTTCCAAGTGTACTGATTCGCTGTCTTCCTTTCTGTTATGTATTAAACACAATTTTAAAAATCTTAAAAATTTGCTTTGCAGTGACTAATTATCAACAGAGTAAGATTACTAAGAATAATGCTGTTGCCAAATTGAGGTCAATTGAACAATTACTTTTGTGATTGGTGCTTAGCTTATGAACCTTCAGAGTAGCTTATGATGTTGAATATGCAGGGCTCGATTTAAGAGATGCTAACCTACTTGTACCAGGTGCAACCTATGATAAAAACCTAGTTGCAACAGCCAAATTCCAGCTGCACAGTTTTTATTGCAGTATGTATTGAAAGAAATATGCACTTGAATTATTCAAGTCTTGAAGAAAAATGAGCTGGCATATTTATGCTTATAATGTTAGATTTATTGTTGATTTATTTCTCAAAACTTGACTTGCAAATTAGACAAATAACTAGGTTGCACTTTGTAATATTGGGCTGCACCAGTGCAAGTAACAAAGCACTAAATCGAGCCTTGATATGGCATGTTCTGTGTGATCCAGGAAGACTTTTAACATTTGTCACATGGCTGTCACTTATCGTGCTTATATAATTGTACAGGAGACAGACAAATATGATTCATTAGGAAGGAAACATGGGCTCCAGCTTAATGTGAAAAGGGGAAGCATGAACAATGCATTTTTCATGGGAGTGTCTCACCATTTCATTTGTCAGGTCCTTTTAATGCTTTCCCATTTTATTCAAGAATGAAATGAAGAGAGTGTGATTAAGCATTGTAGTTTAAGTGGTATTTGAAGCTAAAAAAAAGTGCTGTAAAGATTCTTTTTGTTGTGTAGATTACACACCCCAACAAATGATTGGTGTTCGAACTGGCTGTTTCTGTGTCAGTTTGCCCCATGGAATGAGTTGTTGCTCCTACTATCAACCAGTGGTCTAGGATAGGCTGGTTATGTGGATGCTGATGTCATATAGTTACAATGGTGTGACAGTCAGTTTCATTTTATGCCGCATTTAGCAATATTCCAGCAAAATCATGGCGGAGGACACCAGAAATGGGCTTAAGATATTGTACCCATGTTGGGAATCAACACGGGTCCTCGATATGACCAGCGAATGCTTTAACCACTAGGCTACCCCAACTTAGAATGGTACTGACTTAGCATTCCCTCTCTTGTAAACGCTTACACCATGTGGACTGCGAGAATCTAGGTTAGGGATGATGATGATGATGAAAAATATGCCTATTGCTAACACAACATCTGAGTAAAAGTTTCCAAACAATGATCTAAAGAATGACGTCAGTATTTGCCATTACTTCAGAAATAGATGGCCATTGCGTGCAATTATGTTATTTTCTTCTTAAGATGTTACCAGGGCTTTTTCAATATCTGCAACCACCATAACTCCCTCAAAATGTCAGATGTGCTGTAAAGATCAGAGGCAGGTTCTGCTGTCAGCATGTTTTTTATTCCTAGAAAGCTTGAGTGATGAAACACTAAATGTTCTAACACAGACAGGAAGATGGAGGCTGAGCCAAGATGCCTTCGAAACTGGAATGTCATTGGTAAACAAATGCGCAGCAAAGTTTGACGCTTGTTGATTACAAGGAGATATCTGTGTACAGGACATCCATTTGCATTGTGAGTTTGACACAGACACCACCCCTCACCCTCAATGCCGTCATGCCATGCTATTGA